AGGAGGAGGAGGAGGAGGAGGAGGAGGAGGAGGAGGAGGAGGAGGAGGAGGAGGAGGAGGAGGAGAAGAAGGGAGAAAGGAACACTCAGAGGACACCAAGGTGTGGTCAATGGGGAAAGCCAGCACCTCCTCCTCCTCAGCCTTACCTGTCATGTGAAGCTGATGCAGCCGGTGGTAGACCAGGGCCGCGTCACAGGCGCTCTTGCGCACATCAGCCTTCAGCTCCTGATCTCGGAAGAAGCCACCAGCCCGATCAGCCAGCCAACGCCCTACCCAGAGACGCTGGAGGATGTGCCGGATCAAGTTCCACAAGAGGCTGCAGGTGAGGTCCAGATTGGAGGTGGGGAGGGGCCGTCTAAGCGCTTTGAGGGCCGTCCACAGGTTCTGGGATGCTTGTGCAAAATCCCCCTACAGCAAGAGAGGAGACTTCGTAAAAGAACTCAGAGCAGGAACCAGACTCCGCACAGACCCTCCAAGGACGAGGACTGGGGAGGAGGCTCCGAGGCTTCTTCCTAGTCATTTCTCTTCCAGTCTCTTGGACTACAGATCCCATTAGCCACTACAGCTGATAGAAGACAGGGCTTGGTGTTGTACAATGGGGTGTGACTGACACCTGCCTTTCTTAGTGATAGGAATTCTGGTCCCAACTCTGGTTGCAAGTTGAGGGCTGCCCTGTAGGGTGAAGAGACCTCCCCCCCCCACTTAATTAAGGACGGGGTTAAGTGACGGCAGATATCTCAAGACCTTCCTCAACCTCTGCAGATCAACCTCCCCCATCCCTTTATTTCCACTCTCTGAGTTCATTTCTTTATCTTGATTCAAAGCGTCGACCCTGCTGGACTTTGAACCCAGCGCTGGGTTTCCTTCCCCCGGAGTCACGTACCCGAGCCAAGTCCAGGTCCGCCTGCTTGCGGTGTCTCCAGAAGATGACCGAAGACTCCGAGTGGGGCCGGGTGATGGGCTCGCCGTAAATGAAAAGCCGGACGAAGGCGGCACCCACGATCAGCAGGTTGATCATCCAGAAGACCAAGGTGGGGAGAAGCCACTGGAACTGGGGAAGAGCAGCGTCTGGACACAAAAGGCCAAGCCGAGGGAGTGAGTGAGTGAATGAGGGGGCATCTCTCCCACCCTTAGAAGGCCGAGGGTCCTACGGCCCCTCCAAGGCGGGGAAGGTGAAGAAAAGCCATGGGAATCCCTTGGCATTTTTCTATCCTCATACCTTACACGTTGCAGGCAATTTCCTTTGGTATACAGGTAGGTAAGACCCACCTACCCCCTCAACCTCTCCCTCTGTGCTTTTTTGTGCCTTTCCTTCTCACCTTTGTCCATTTTTAAATCAATATCAGTTTAAAAATAATATTTATTGTTGCTTTCGTTGGTTGTGAGCAGCCTAGAATCGACTCTATGCGAGATGGATGGCATATAGGTGGCATTTATTCGTTATGATTACATCGATGACAGCTAGATCAGTGTTTCTCCACCTTGGCAACTTTTAAGATGGGTGGGCTTCAACTGCAACTCCCTGTGTGGGCTGGGGGATTCTGGGAGTTGAAGTCCACCCACCTTAAAATTGTCAAGATTGAGAAATGTTGAAATAGATGATGATGATAGATGATGGATGGATGGATGGATGGATGGATGGATGGATGGATGGATGGATGGATAGATGGACAGGCAGACAGATAATAGATGATGGATGGATGGACGGACGGACATAAAAATGAAGCCTTCTCAATGGTCCCCATCATACAGGCTTGGCCCAGGTGGTGCCTTTCACTCACTTTCTGACTCGTCCGTGGCCAGGATGCTGCGGCTGGAACCATCATGGCCAAAAGCCTCTGAAGAACCTCCGAGGTTGACTCCGGCAAGCAGGGAAGAAAGCGGATTGAAGGAGAGACAGAGGAAGACGAACGTGCAGAGAGCCACACGGGACCTGTCCAGCATTCCCAGGCTGCCCGATGGAGGGCCCTGATATTCGGGTTTCACCTACAAAGAACAGGTAAGTTGGAGAACCAGAGCCTCTTTCTGGGTTGAAAAGAGGGCAGGTCCAACGACCACTTGGGTGAAAATCCTGGTCAAACTCTAGTCAGCCTTGGGTCGTTTGGAGGAAAAAGATGAAGCAGCCCCCCTTGAATCTCTTTAGGGGCTGTTGATCACTCAGATCAGCAGATGTTCGTCATGGTCTTCAAGCCAACCCAATGCCCCAGGTTCTCCTGGAGTCTTTGCTCACCTTGGCCTCCTCGCACGAAGGGCTGTCTGGCTCCGAATCGGTTCCACTGATGCCTCCGAAGGAGAGTGGGCTGCTGTGCGAAGGGGAACCGGCATCTGAGGGTGGAGGCGTCAAAGCTTCCATCATCTTCATTCCCTCTGCCGGATCCTCCACGTTTCCACCACATATGGCCACCAAATCTTTCAGCGATTCTGTAGAAGGAGAGAGCGGAGCGATGGTAGAACCAAGATGGGCTTCTCACATCGTGGAATATCTAAACATTCTGGGACTAATTGGGTTTTCTTGAGGAAGGCCGAAGCGGTTGGATTATCTACAAGGCCAGCAATCATCTAATAGAACCACCTGTGGGTTCAGCCAACGGTCATTCCAAAAATTAAACTATATTCATTCTCAGCAGAAATCAGGCCAACATCCGTCCTTACTGCCACGAGGAGGGAGTTGACAGGAAAAAGTGTCTGAGAGGAGATGAATTTAGGCAAGAACATCAGTTTTTTTTCCCAACAGGATCCAGCTGTTTCTGCTGATCACTAGGCAATGTTGACATTGGCTTCTTGGAAGATGGTAAAAATCCACAAAAGATCTCTGCTCTCCACCTGGGTCTCCGAAGGGGACCTTGAGGCCAAGCAACTTGTAGATTAATCTGCCAGCCTGGTCTTGACCCCCCTCCCTCCTGATCTCCTGGGTCTCAAACCTACAAGGAGGAAAGGGGGAGGGCGGTGTGCATGCATGAAACTCACTGTTCTTCTGCACTGCCATTTTAAGGGCCATGTTCTCCCCCTTCAGCTTCTGGTTGGTCTGCTTCAGGTAGCGGATGTAGTCGATGGCTTTGCGTAAGATAGCCGACTTGTTCAGCTGCCAACGGAGAGAAAGGGGCAGGCTGGGATTATGGGAGTCCAGCCAAAAGCATCTTCTTGCTACATGAACTGAATTTGCCCAAAGCTGTTTGGGATACCCCTGGCCCAACCCCATGCCTACTACTTGGGTTCCCTCAACTCAAGTCACCATCACGGTCCTCAGGAGAAGGATTCATGTACTTTCTACGGTTCCTACATTAACGATGAAGAACAAACCAAGATAAGAAACCAACAGAGGGGCCAAAAACACAATCGAGGCCAAAATGGGCTTCCTCAACCAGAAACACCCAAGCATATACCATGACTTTCCTCCCACATCAAAGAAAGAGACATCTACCTTTCTACAGGTGAAAACTCCCTGACAGCTAAGATAGGAGAGAGTTCTCCAAGCAAGGACTCCATGCTCTTGCTCCCCCAGGACATCCACCCAACGGAAACAGGTGTAGCTACCTTGGCTTCTGTGCCCACAACCAGGACCTTCAGCTCAGATATCTTGTCATTGATGGAGGAACGATAGCGTTTCTCAATAGCATTGTGAGCGGTGCGCTTCTCGCCCTTGTTCTGGGTGACCACAGGCTTCCCAGCGGTCAGGCGGTTGATGGGCAGCTTGTCAGTGTCCACCATCAGTGGCACTGTCGCCAGGATGGTGCCCCCGCTCACCAGGGTCTGCAAGAGAGGGGAAGAGGGGGTCTGCAGAGAACTTGAAGGCTTCACCATGAGGAGAGACTGAACTAAGAATGACGTGGTCTCTGCCAGCTGAGGAGAAAGCTAAGGACGAAGGACATTCCACATATTATTAGCATAATGTATGCATTGACCCATTTCATTCATCAGCTTTCATGCATCATGGCTCATTCTTATCAGTGGAGGAAGCGAAGTTGATTCAATATGGGAGCAGCTGGACAAAATTCTGCTTTTTTCCCCCATCCCACCTCAGCACCCTCTCAATATCACCACCTTCTATTGTGGGACCCCAAAATAAGCGGCTACAAAGGAATCAGGTGAAGTCATCTGGGATATGCGGAGGGGAGAGAGAATTCCCAACCCAAAGTTTGAGGATTTTTTTAAAAAAGTAGAAATGGGTCAAAAGAGCCAGGGGAACCAAGACTGGGAGAAATAGGACCTTACTGGCATCTGCAAGGCTGTGGAGGTGACCACGGAGCTGGTGTTGGGGGTTTTGGCTCCGGAGACAGTGGTCAGAAGGAGGGAGTCGGCCTTGATGAAGTGGGGCTGCAGAAGGACCTGTGGGAAGATGGCACGAAGTCAGGACCAAGGCCGGACCAGGAAAGAGGGTGGTCCTATCTCCGGAGTCCCACTCACCGGCACTTGCTGGACCACCTGGGGGCTGCTGGCAGCCAGAAGCTGTTGGGGAGCGATGTTCTGGAATGGCGTTGGTTTCAGAGAAGGCTGCATCTGCTGGGGCTTGGTGGAGGCCGCTGGGGGCTGCTGGGGTGTCCCTCCTGGCTGGGGAGCTGGGAGAGAAACCCCCAAAGATTGGAGATGCCTTCTACAGCAACTGGACAGACACCTGGGCCAAGCCCACCCACCCACCCACCCACAGAAGCCTGGCACACACAGGCAGAGCTGGCCTTGGAGGTGCCCTCAAGAACCCTGCTGAAACACAACAAGCAAATGGAATGATGGGCGGTGTGATCCAACACTTCTGGAGGCTCTCCGGATATCAAGGCAAAGCTCTCAGGGCCAATCTGTCCAACCCTGAGACCTTGGAAGCACCGCCCACAAGCCCCTGTGAGTCTAAGTCCAACCTGACATGGTCTGAAAACCTTGAGTGGGATGGTGTGATTTTTCAGACCCACCTCCAGCAACTCATCCCTCCTGGGGCATCCATTTTTTTTTCCAGCCAAACCTTGTGGTCCTCCTGTCTTTAGGAACCACTGTGCTGATATATGTTAATAGGCAGTGGAAAGTTTCACTCTGCTTGCTCAGGGATGAAAGGCAAGGCCCACTTCAGATGACTCCAAGAAGATCCATTGGGAAGCTCAAGACAAGGCTCATATGACAACATTAAGCTCTCTTCCCCTCCTTACCAGAAATACCATTTTGGGTCTGGAAATCCATCAAGGGCTGGGTGGAGAAAGGCATCTGGGCAGCTGGAACAATATTTGGAGAAGGTATCATGCCGGCGGGCAGCTGGCTTTGAGGTGGGCTTAGCGTTGGGCCCAAGGATTCTTCTTTGACATCCACTGGAGATGGTGGCATGTTCAGGCAAGCGGTGGGCAGGGTCTGGAAGCTGGGTGGAGATGTGGTTGGAAGGGGGAACAAGCTAGTGGGAGCGGGGGCCTTTGCCCCCCCATAAGTGCTGAAGATACTGGGTCCATGGGGGTTCAGATCAGGAGGAAGCTGGGAACCGAAAGACGTGTCCATCAGATCAGGGAAGTCGTTGTCTTCGGTGGTGATCAATTGGAGCATATCTACAAAGCCCAGGGGGGAAGAATGAGAATCGTGATTGGCACCTGGAGGATTACAGCCGAAGACTTATTTCAAGGGGATGAAGAAGCCACGGACTTGGGAAGGCTTGTAGGGCTGAAGAACGTGTGGGATTTAGAGCGGGGGTCTCCAAACTTAGCCACTTTAAGAGTTGTGGACTTCAACTCCCAGAAGAGAACGAGAGTGTGTGTAAAAAGGAAAAACAGCACTGCCTGAATATTATGAATGCATTTGAGCCGGGGTTTGTGGAATTCCCACCTTCTAGTCCTGATCGAGTTCCTAGAAACTGCATGGGGATCACAACTCTCTGCAGGAGATGGGCAGTTAAGAAATGCGAAATATAAATAAATAGACTGGCACCCAGAAGAAGTGTAAAATGCCTTCATTCATCAACCAGAAGGAAAACAGAAAAGGGCTCGACTCAGGCATTCAGGAGTGGGGAGGATCTGGGTCAGAAGACGGAGGCTTCCAAAGGGAGGATCTCGCGGAGAATGAACATGGGTCCAAGCCAGGACTGTCCCCTACATCCTTCTTTTCAGCCAGGGAGGTGGGGAAAGGCAAGGGCCAGTTCAGATGACTCCACAAAGATCCATTGGGAAGGTTGAACCACTTACTCTCTGTGCATCTTCATGGAAACCAGTCGGGAACCCTAATCTTGGTGCTACTAAGTCTGAGTTCCAATTCCAGCATCCAAAGTCCTGGTATTAACAGCTTCCGGTCACTCCCATCTCGGCCTGCAAAGGCTGCCCTGCTCCGCTTTGGGTAAACAGACTTCCTATTTTGGCTGCCTCCGACAATCTGACTTATTAAATGAATTCAGCTGTTTGTGTCTCATTTTCTGGCCCGGGAAAGGGAGGGGCAGGCTTCCCTGCATGCTATAGTCATTCTAAAAGGAGCATTCAATTGTGTTCTAAATTCTTGGCGCTTGAAACATCTGTTGGGTCTGACCGAGAAACCTTTGCCCCGTTATTCATAAAAGCTAGCTAAAACAAAATAGTGTGTCTTCTTTCCTCTCCAGCAAACAAACAAACAAAAATTGACCAATTACCATTTCAAATTATGGCGGTTTGGAATCCTGCGGGCAGA